CTCCTCTCTTCTTTTTCTGTCCATCTTCTTTCTTTTTCCCTTTCTTCTTCACCTTCTCTCCACTCCTCACCCTTTCTCTCTTCCTCATCCTATCTTCCCTCTTCTCCTGTCTCTCCCCTTCTATCTCCCTCTAGGGATGACGGGACCAAGGCCAGTTGTTCTCAGTGGACCATCAGGTGCTGGGAAAAGCACCTTGTTGAAAAAACTTCTTCAAGAATATGGCAACATTTTTGGCTTCAGCATCTCCCGTGAGTATTTATGGTTGATTGGGAGTGAGGGGTGAACTATGGAGTAGATGCAGGGGCTGCCCAACAGAAGGAAGGCCACTGGTCATCTTTCTCCACTGACTTTGCCACAGAGGTGAGACCAGCTGCCCCCTGGGTTATGTGAGGCTCTGGGTGCAAACGAGAGGGGGAATATGGGAATAATTTCTCCCATTCCTACCTGCCCCAGCCCATAGTATAAAGAAGCTTTGAGAACAAAGCCAAAGGGGAAAGCTTTCCCTGTGAAGAGAGGGAGAGGTTACTGTAGTAACTCCTTCCTCTCCAAAGGAGGCTTCCTCCTCCGGAGCCCTGTTGGCTTGGAGAGCTGCCCCTGGGGTCTGGAAACATCAGCCAGAAGGCCACGACATCCACACTTCCTGTCTCCGCTTCCTCATCCCCCCCCCACCCCCGACTCCAGCTTTACAGCTCATGTGGGTCTGTGTTGCATGTTTCAAGGATCCCTGTTTTCGTGTCGGCACGGCCTCCGGTACTGCACGGCACCCCACAGGAGGTGGTCTTCATGGGTTGCTGGAGCTTGAAAGTCTTGATGGCCTGGCATCCACGCCCTCTGCTGCCCACTCTGCCTGAACAGGGACAGGGCCTGTCCTTGAGGCGAGAGAAGGCACCTGCTCTGCCCACAAGTCCTCCTTGGACAGAAGAAGGATCAGAGGCCCAGCAAGGGGACCGAACTTGTCCAGCCTCACTGAGGGGGCTTCCAGAACCAGGCCTCAAACCCTGGCCAGCAGGTGGCAGGGTCCAGCTCAGCTCTCTTTCCACCTACCTCTTTAGTGCTTCAAGGAGGCAGCAAAGTGGTGCAGTGGCTCGAGCACTGGGTCTGCAGTTGATTTGAACCTGAGTTCAAATCCTGCTTCAGACACTTGCTAGCTCTATGACCCTGGCTGGGCAAGCCACTTAACCTTTGTTGGCTTTGAATTCCCCATCTCTAAAATGGGGAAAATAATAGCACCCACCTCCCAGGGTCGTTGTGAGGATCAAATGAGGTCATATTTGTAAAGCATTTTGCAAACCTTAAAGCACTATATAATGCTAGCTGCTGCTGTTATTTTTACTATTCGTGATTTTTCCTGTGAGTCCTGCTTGCGGCTGTTGTGCGCACCTTAATAGATGGAAACATCATGAGATGCTGTGGCCACAAACTTTGTACCATAGTGGTGAGCCTCTCCTCCTCCCTTGGCTATAGGGTGGTCCTCAGTGACGGATAGGACTGTTACTGGGGCCATACTTAGGGTTTTTCCACCTTGGGCAGCATCTGCCCAAGATTGCCCCGAGTCAGCTGACTAGGCCTTAGGGAACCCAGGGTCACCTCCACACCATGAGGAGCCATCAGGGAACACTAGTAGAAGCTTTACTTATGATTTTCTAAACCTGGTTCATTGGTGCACAGTGCACATACCTGTCAGCTGAACACAAGAGTCATTTAACCGGAGCACCTCACCTCTGCTTACATTGGATAAACAAGTTCAAGGGAGAGGTCGTGGAAAGGTTTAGGAGTGGTGGCCACAGAGGTACTCCAAGACAGTAAGGGACTCTTAGCCATTTTTGATGCTCAGATCCCTTTGAAAGCCGCAAGTAAGTGGGCCTCTTTATTGTCATGGCTTCTTGTCCCTGCTTTTCCTAGGATCCATCCAGAGCTAGATGGAGCAAAGAAACCAGCCTGGCTAAGCTTTGCCAAAGCATCTTAGTGCTGGCTTCCCCCCAGCATACCTAACCCTCGCGTAGAGTCCCATGGAATATTGAAGTTGAGATGGCCGACGTGGGGACCCTTAGCACATCAAAAGTTAAAGCTGGGAGGGGAACTTTAGAATATAATGCAGAGAACAGCACTAAGACTTTTGAGATCTTGTCTACAGTATTAAAGAGTATTAAAGACATAGAGATAGAAAACTTGGAGGGGCCTTAGAAATGACCTCATCTAACTCCTTTGTTTTCTAGTTGGGAAAATTGATCACCCAGTGTTGAGTTAATCTTGGCCACATAGCTAGTTAGTATGGGCTACAATTAGAACCCAGGTCTCCTGATTCCTTCAGTACTCATTCTAATGTACTATGGCATATACCATGGTCCTTCTCTCTGATGACATAATGAGGGCAGAATGCTGTCTCAGAGCTGGTGGCCCCTTGGTGATTTGTTATGCTATGGATGAGACCTATAGGAGATTAGGTCTTGAGTCTCCAGAGTGAGTCACTAGCATGCTTTGTTACAGATACCACAAGGAGCCCGAGGCCTGGAGAAGAAAATGGCAAAGGTCAGTGTGCCTCATTATCTGCTGATTATAGAAAAAGACCCCTTTACCCACAATGCATTGTTTTCCCAGCCCTGCCAGTGAGTGGAACCCACAATGGAGGACCTGTAACCTAGAGCTTAGGAGACCTGTAGTCTTGGGATGGGGTCTCAGGCTTCCTTTCTTCCTGGTCTTTGTCTCCATCTTCCCATCTGCTCTCTGCCCAGTGCATATCTTACCCTTTCAGTTCAGTTCAGTCATTATCTTCAGCATGTATCGTGCATTGAGTCTTTAGTTTCAGAAAGAACACAGATAAAGTTTTACATTCAGTCCTTCTATTGAATAATATACTAACTAGACTAACCTGCGTATGGTAGATGTTGGTCTAATTACAGCATCTTCATAGATGGAGGATAGAAGAACACTCATAGAAGCTGGTTTCATCCCTATTCTCATCTGACCTAGAGAAATGAAGTCGCACATGTAATTCTCCTCTATCCAGACAGAGGCTCAACTCTCCATGGCCCATAGATATGAGGGGAGGTGATCTGCCCAGTGGCAAGAGCTGGGTCTTGAACCCAAGTCCTCCTGACTCAATCCAGCATTCTCTGCCCTACCTTCTCAACAAGCACAGCATATGCTAGGGACAAGAAAAAGACTAGTTTAGCAGGGGAAGAGAGTTCATGTAGGGGATTAATGGAGAATCAGGATAACAAGTAACAGGCTTGTACCTGGAACCTGGGGCCTCTGGCTCCTAATCCAGCACTCTCTCTGCCACTGACAGTCCATCTCATCTCCCCAAAAGCCTCCCAGATCAGGGCACTTTAGGAGTGATCCATAAATACTAGTTGATTGTGAAAAGGAAGATATCAGAGGAGGAAATGTAGAAGAGTTCTAGAGCCCAGACTGGCTTTGGGCCCTGCTCCTAGCCTGCTGGGGTGTAAAAGGTGATTGGGATGGATGCAGAGGTGTGAGTTGGCTGCCGTCAGTGGACCTTTCCATTTTGCCTGTGTTTGTTCCAGATTATCACTTTGTGACCAGGGAAGAGATGCAAAGAGACATTGACGCCGGACAATTCATCGAGCACGCTGAATTCTCAGGAAACATGTATGGAACGAGGTACATGCCAGCTTATTTGCCTGCGCAGACCTTGCTGTGGCGATGGGGCTAGGTGGTCTGGGAAGGTCAGTCTGACTCCAGACTGATGCATTCTAGTGGAGAATTGGGCTGAGTGTTTCTCCATTGTAGGCGCACTCTACCCATCCTCACCGACATGGCAGGCCAGTACTGTGGCCTTGAGGGATGGTGTTACGAGGAAGTCTGGCCTGCTGTCGTTTATGTACAAAGATGTGATTCCACTCACCTGCCCTGTCTGTGGAATCTGGAGTGTTTTGTTGGAAGAGAATCGGCCAAAGTTATTGTCAGGCATGTATCTCCAGGGCTGTCAGACGGAAGAAAGATTAGATTTATTTTGCTTGCTGTTGTTCATACGTGACATTTGTCTCCCATCTCCTTCCATGCCTTTGTTCTGGTTCTCACCTGTGTCTGGAATGGATTCCCTTTAATTCTGCACCTTTCTGAAATCCTCGTTTCCTTCAGTGCTCAAAGGCATCAAAGATGCCTTTGGTTAAATGAAGTTTCCTCTGATTTCTGTCTCCCCTCCCCCCAGCTGCTAGGGTGTCCTTGAAATTAACCTCAGATTTATTTCTACGTGTCCATGTTATGCCCTCTGATAGAAGGGAAGCTCCTTGAGGGCAGGGACCACTTTTTTCCCAGTCATTGTATCCACAAGTTCCTGGGGCATACTGTAGTTGGTGTTAATTAAGTGTTCATTGATCGATTCTCCTTGACCTCAAATGGTAGAATTAGGGAGAGTGTGAGGAAATTGCCGGAGATTTTGGCTTAGTATAAGGAAAAACTTCCGAACAACAGAGACACTCAAAAATGAAATGTTTCAGGAGTATGATGAGTTCCCTGTCACTCTATCTTCCCTGGGGTGGGGATATTAGAAAACTCTTCCATCCCATGGGTCACGGTGGCTGTTGGCTCTTGGGAGAATCTGCAAATTCCTGCCCTCTCGTCCCCACCCCACCCCCACCCCCTCTGATGGCCTGTCTGCTCTGCATGAAACCATGAACAGAGAGGGTGATAGGGAACAGACTGGTTATGATCCAGGTACCAAGAAATTCATGAGCAATGCCGTCTAACAAAGACCTATCCCTGGTGGGACGTGGGACTTAAGAGAAAGCATGTTCCTGTGGCTAGGCGTGGTGGCGCGGGGGGACCTGTAGTCCCTGCTGTTGGGAAGCCTGAGGCTGGTGGAGCACTGAGCTGCACAGCTATAGGGAGACCATAGCTCCCTTGTTTCTTTATAAATTTAAAAGACTTTTATTCCCTTCTAAATGTATATATTGTTCTCACTTTAACTCAGATCAGATGTGAGTAGGCTGCCCTCCAAAAATCCCTCCCTTATCCTCTCCCCTGTCCCATCCCCTTAGCCTTTTATTTCTTTATGAATTTAGAAGACTTTTATATCCTTCTAGATATGTATGTAGTGTTCCCTCTTAACCCATTCTCAAGGAGGGCAGGGTTCCAGAACTACCAGTCCTCTATTTCCTCTATGTTAGTTCCTCCTCTAGCAGCTCATTTGTATGAGATAACCACTCTTTTTACCTTTTCCTAGACGGTATTACTTTTTAGAATTACATCATACGCAGCTCTACCCCAATCTGTCTTTCATACTACCCAGTTACTAACTTCAATCTTAGACATTCAGTTTACATTTCCTTGTATAAAAAGTGAACAATCCGTCCTTATTGAGTCCCTTATAATTAATCTTTGATGTTTACCTTATATTTCTCTCACATCTTGTATGTCAAATTTTCTATTAAGTTCAGGTCTTTTTGCAATATAATCTTGAACGTCTGGCAATTCATTGAATGTCCATTTTTTTTTTCATTCAGGAATATGCTTAATTTTACTGGGTATCATAGTTCTTTTGCTCTTTAATATATAGTGTTCCAAGACCTGCAGTCTTTTAGTATAGCCACTGCTAGGTCTTGTATGATTCTGGTTGTGGCTCTGCCATATTCGAATTGTGTATTCTTGTTTCTCGTGATACTTTCTCCTTGAGCTAGGGGTTTCTGAATTTAGCTGTGATATTCCTGTAGATTTTCCTTGTAGGATCACTTTCAGGTGGTAATCAGTGTATTTTTTCTATTCCTGCTTTCCCATCTTGTTCTAATACTTCAGAACACTTTTCTGTAATTATTTCTTTTATTATTGTATAAAGATTCTTTTTTTTTTATCATAGCTTGCAGGTAGTCTGATTATTCTTATGTTTTATCTTCTTGATCTGTTCTCCAGATCAGTTGTTTTTCTTATGAGATGTTTCACATTCTCTTCTATTTGTTCATTCTTTAAATTTTGTTTTATTATTTCTTAGTCTCTCATAACTTCTATTTGCCCTTTACCCAATTCTAATTTTCAAGGAGTCATTTTCTTCCTTAAGATTCTGGATCTCCTTTTCTAGTCGGTTAATTTTCTTTTCATAATCTTGTTTTTCTTGGATGGTTCTTTTTTTTTTTTTTAATTTTTCCTCAATCCCTCTAATTTGATTTTTTTTTTTTTGGATGAGGCAATCGGGGTTAGGTGACTTGCCCAAGGTCACACAGCTAGTACGTGTCAAGTGTTTGGTCTGAGGCCGGATTTGAACTCAGGTCCTCCTGACTTCAGGGCTGGTGCTGTATCCACTGCGCCACCTAGCTGCCCTCTAATTTGATTTTTAAAGACTTTTTAAAGTTCTTCTATAAATTCTTTTTGGGCAAGTGCTCATTTGATGTTACTCTTTGGGGTAGGATAGGCTTTTTTTGCTTTAGTACCCTCCTCTGAAGATGAAGTCTTCTCTATTCCTATAGTAACTTTCTATGGTTGGGTCCTTTTTCCTTTGCCTGCTTATTTTTTAAAAAAATTTATAACAACTTGTTGTAATCACCTCTAGTGATACCTGGGGTATGGATGATGGTGCCTCTGGCCTCAGGTCTTCCTTCAGTTCTCTCCGGCCTGGAACCGAAACCAAAAACCCCGCCCTCCTTGAAGTGCCCGCAGTCAGTGGCGTCCATCCCACTGCTTCTGCACTCACCAGGCATGTGCTACTTCCTTCCCTCGCCCAGGACTGTGTCATGGCAGCACAGCTGGGCGCGGTGTCCATTCTCAGCAGAGGTTCCCTCAGTCTTCCCCCACTCAGAAGCCCAACTCCTGTGGCTGGGGCCAAAGCTGCCCTCCAGCCCCGCTAGCCCCAGAGCTTGCTGCCTGCTGTTTCAGCGAACTAGCCTAGAGATATTTACACTTCACTGGGACCAAACCTTGGTCTTGGGATCTTTCTTTTGCTGTTGTCCCAGAAGGACTACTGTTCTGCCCAACTCTTGTTTATTTTAACTCATTCTGTGTCACCCTGAGGGCTGTTTTGTTTTATTTGCGGCAGAAATCTGGAGAACTTAAAACTTTCTGACCTACTCTGCCATCTTCCCAGAATCCTCTCCATATTTAGTCTTGATGAAAGGGAAATCTTCCCAACAAGTAAAGCTGTCTAGAGGTGCAATGAGCTGCCTCAGGAGGGACCAGCTTCCCTGTCACTGGAATCGTCAGTGGAGAAGCTGGACGGCCCTGTGGGGGATGTATTGTAGGAGGGAGTCTTGTTGGGGAAAAGCTTGGACCAGACGGACGTCTCTGAGATCCTGCTTTCAAAGCTTTCCAAAGCACTTACCCTACAGCAGCCCTGGGAAGTCAGAAGCACAAGTTTTGTCATCCCCACTTTATAGGTAAGAAAATAAACTCAGAAAGAAATAGAGTGAAAAAACATTTATTAAGCACTTACTGTGTGCCACCCACTGTGCCAAGTCCTGGGAATATAAATAAGAGGGCAAGGCCATCCCTGCTCTTGGAGCTCATGTTCTTTTTTAATTTATTTTTTTTTTAATTAACAAAGATTTATTTTCTCTCCCTACCCCCTCCCTTCCACAAAAAAATTGCACACAAACCTTGAACAAATAAATATACACAGTCAAACCAAACAAATTCCCACAGTGGCCACGTCCACAAATGCACTTCTCACTGTGCTCCCTGGGTCCATTGTCTACCTCTCTGTCAGGTATTGAGAAGCCCTTCACCGTTTTTTTTTTTTAAGTCTTTCAGAATTGTTTGTCTTTATAGTGTTGTTATCAGACAGATTGTTTTCCTGGTTCTGCTCACAAGAGCTCACCTTCTATTAGGAGAGATAACACCTAGCAGAGCTGACTGCAGGGGCAGATGGAAAGGTTCAGGAGTCCTTAGGGTACTCTGTTGTAAAGTGGAATCTGGGTGGGTGGGATTCAGCCTGGGGCCATTGAGTAAAGAAGGAAGGGAGATGACTTGCCCATGGTCACACAGCGGGCAGGTGTGCAAGCCAGTAATCGAACCCAGGTCTCCTAAATACCAGGCCTATGCCTTCCCCTCTTCACTCTGCTGCCTCCAGTTAGGGGACTGCCCTGTAACTCTTTTTGGGGGGGGGGAGGCTTAAGCCAAATTAACCTTTATTACGCTGGGAACATGTACAGAGAGGAGGATCACAACGGATCAGTCTTTACAGTATATTTCTTCTGCACTGCCTGGTGGCTTTGAGGATCCTGCTGGGGACCTGGCACCCTCACCACGCTGGGTGCTGCAAAGATGCTGATGTTCTTGTGTGACTGTTTATGTGGTGGAGGGCCAAGGGGAAGAGGGAAGGAGGCAGGAGGGGTACTCTGGATGGACAAGTAGGTGATAGAGCCCATGGAAGCAGAGATAGAAGTGTCCCTTGATTTAAAATGCGGACTCTTCAGGCAGACATTGATAGAGATTTAGTATCTCAGTTCAGTTTCTCCTGGTAAATCCCAAGGTCTGGGACTGGTCCTAGAAATGCTTCCCTGGGGGGGCAGCTAGGTGGCGCAGTGGATAGAGCACTGGCCCTGGATTCAGAAGGACCTGAGTTCAAATCCGGCCTCAGACACAAAGCACTTACTAGCTGTGTGACCCTGGGCAAGTCACTTAACCCTCATTGCCCATCCAAAAACAAAAAAAAAAAAAAAAAGAAAGAAATGCTT